AGGCATCTGCAGAACAGGGGCAAGGTATGTGTAATCTGCTGCACTACAAGGCAAAGTCCCAAACAACAAAGAGACCATCCCCCACAAAATCAATGTCCTTTTTTTTTTTTGGTTTTTTGAGTCAGGGTCTTGCTATATAGTCCAGGCTGACCTTGAACTTGGTGCAATCCTCCTGACTCAGCCTTCCAAGTGGTGGGATTACAGGTGTGCACCATCACACCTAGACCAAATTGCCTTAAAGTCTTTTCAATATTTTTCCCCAATGCTTGGGATCAAACCCAGGAACTCATGCTACGCAAGCACTCTACCACTGAGCTACATCCTCAGCCTCTAAATAATTTTTAACCCCATGAGAGGGCTGCTCAGGCTCTAACATTCTTTTTTTTTTTTTTCTAACATTCTTGACTATGAATCATCTCACATATAGAGGGTAACCCAAAGTGTGCAAAGCAATACACTAAACGAGATTCCCGGGGTCCAAACCTGTTGCTAATCCAAGTACAGTAAGAAGGCCTTCCCAAAGATTGAAACAAGAAAGGAGCAGAACAAAACTACCCTAGTACCAACACATCTAAGAGTCATAACCTCATTCTTACTCCTGCATTTCCTCCAAAGCCTAATTAACTTTGCATGGACTCTTAGGGTTTATGAAGTACTGCTACAATTACTTACAACCTAACCTATTTACAACCTGACAGAGTCTTGTAAGTCACTAAAATTGCCCAAGCTGGGCTTGAAATTACAACCCTCCTGCCTAACCTCCCAGTATGTTGGGACTACAGGTATGCACCACCATGCCTAGCTTTAAAGCATTTCCTTTGGCAAAATAAAACAGCAAGATAAAGGGAACTGAGTAAAATGTGCCAGGGCAAAACTACACATAATCATATTTTGCTTCCTTGCATATCAAAATTTCATATTCTGCTTTTATGATTTTAGGGATCTGAATATGTAAACTCAAGGTTATAATATTATAGCCAATTTTCTTACTCCTGGTGCCTTACCATTCTACTTTAACTCTGAAATTAGGCTGCCTCAAAGTTCCTCCTCTCATCTCAGGGAACTGTAGCCAGCTCATTTATTTGTTCCATTGTGATCCACTAAGTCCATCTGTGATATCAGCAGTGTCCTCTGACCATCATTTTGGGAGACAGTGAAAAAGAAAAAAGCACCCCAATACCAGGCAGTTAGTCTTATATTATCAGATAGGCCTGGTGTTCCTTGTAAAAATATAGAGGTTCACAAAACATCAACATCATACAAGGCCACTTTGTCTCTTCTTTCACTTTCTGCAGTGCGGAGACTGAACCCAGGCTAAGGCCAGGCAAGTGCTCTACCACTGAGCTACACCTCTAAACCCCACTCTAAGGCCACTCTATAATCATATATGAACAGAGAACAAAACATGAAATCACAAAACAGGAACATTACGCTGGGCATGGTGGCACATATCTGTGATCCTAGCAATGAGGCTGACACAGAAGCATCACTCAGAGTTTGAGGCCAGCCTTGGCTTCACAGTGAGTTCAAGCCCAGCTTGGACTACATAATGAAACCTTATCCCAAAAAAACCAAGCAATTGAACAAAAACAAAATAAAACAAATCAAAAGAGGAACATTCTCTAAAATACAAAAAGATCAAACATTCCCTTACCTAGGCTAAGTGACTGCTTCATCATTACCAATTATAGTTGTAACCTCCTTCTAGACAAGACTAAATATACAAATTATGAATCTCTACTTCCTGACAGTGACCTCCAGATAAAGAGCCCTATTCATCAAGGCCTCCCTCAATATCTAATACAAGCTCCAATCTTCTAAGTTCTAATACTCTGTTTTGGTTTTTTTAAAACAGGGTCTCACTGTGTAATTTCAGGATGGCTTTGAACTCACTATGTAGCCCAGGCTGGTCTGGAACTCACAGAAATCCTGCCTCTCAGCCTCTCGAGTGTTGAGGTTACAGGCACATGACATCACATCTGATCCTTTAGTATCAATTTTGACTTACTCTTTACTCTTCGGTGACAGATTAAATCTGAGCACGTCATTCATCATCTAGACTCCACCTCTAAAATGTCTTATATCTCTTCTCACACTCCCTGTTGCTGTCCTGGTTCAGCCCTTCATTACCTCTCATGATACATCATGACAGTAGCCTCCTGTAAATATTCTCCCTGAAGCATTACTCTCAACTACCCGCCACACTCAGCACTGAAAACCCTTGGGCTACTGTCTCCCTATCTTCCATAGTGTAAAATCAGCCACACACTCAAAGGCTTCCATGATCTGAGCCATTCCAAATCTCTTCCTAGACATGTGAAAGTTTGTCATAGTAGAATCTCAATATCCCTCATAAAGTCCATAGTACTCCCATTTAACAGACAGAGGCACAGATAAGGGAACATTTGCCAAATACTACAAAACTCAGAGAAAAGCAGTGTTTCTTGCTTTGGTTCTGAAAGCTAAGCAAAGGGAAACAAGCTAACTGCAAAACAAAAACTCAAACATTTTATGTCATGAGGACACAGGAATATAGAAGTAGGTATTACAAGTAAGTTAGCTAGGCAGGGTGGCACATACCTATAATTCCTGCTATTCAGGAAGCTGGTACAGGATTGCAAGTCTGAGGCCAACCTGGGCAACACAGTGAGACCATGTCTTAAAATGGGGGTGGGTGGCTGGGGACATAATTTACTGAGGGAACTCTTGCCTAGCATACCCCCAAGCCCCCCGCCAAGATTCAATCTCCAGGACCACCCCCCCAAAACAAGAGGAAGTTCACCTCTGACTTAACATGTTCACCTTAATAAATTCAAATAGCAGGAAGTTCTGATGATTAATTCGGGTTACAGTTCAGCAGTATTTGCTGGGCCAAACACCATGGGGCACGTGTGGGAAGTAGAATGAACACTCCCAAGCAGAATTCTTTCCCTACTCCAGTAATGACAGTTCTTTTGAACCATACATAGGCAGGCTGAATGGCAAGAAAAACGAAGTTTTGTGAAGGCTCGCTATTACTACTATTTAGTTTTGAAAACTTCAGTATAAGCCATGCACCTCTGACACAAGAAATAAAAGCTGGAAATGGTGGTGCCTGCTTATAATCCCAGAGCTCAGGAGGCTGAGGCAGGAATTTAGCCATGAGTTGGAGGCCTGCCTAAACTATATAATAAGGTCCTATCTCTAAAGACCAAAAAAAAACAAACAAAAAAAGGGCCAGAAGGTAGCTTGGTGCAAAGACTCTGAGTTCAGTCCTCAATACCGCCAAAAACTTTAAATTAAAAAAAAAAGAGGAAATGAAAACTTGCCCCCAAACACCATGGTATTATTTCCTTCCTCAAAACTATGTGAACTATTTGAATTTTTTTCCTATAAACAGACATTTCTCCTAGTACAATGGTACCTCAGTAACTTGTTAATTGTTTCTGGGAGGTGCTACAAGTACCAAAAACAAGTACCAGATAAATTGTTTTGGCTGGAAAGGGTAGCAAGTCACAAGGAAATCAACACCACAGCTTGTGTGTCAAATACCAAATGCATCATAAGGCATCAGGTACCAAAACTGTACTTAAGATTTTTCTTGATCTAAAGCAACCTTTTTTTAATTGATCCCAGTTGTGTTTCGATCCAGGGTAAGATTAAAAACGGAGGGAGTGCCTAGACCTAATCATTTCCCACCTGTAGGTCCTCCTTCTCATTTGCCATTTTTCTGACATCATGCTCTTTGTACCCTTCTGTTCCAATCATATCTACTATTTAACTTATTTTGTCTTTGTCTATAATTATGTTAAGCTAGCACGTTAAAATTTTCCCTATTTGTTACTATCACTCAAAGAAAATGCTTTTACCTAAAATATCACTATATACTACTAGACACACCTTTTCTGTCTTCTTTATCGGAAATGGTTCATGTCTCATACATCTTTGGACTCTATTACATTAAAAAAAATTATGAGACATGCGTTGTGAAACACACCTGTAATCTAACTCTTTGGGAGACTGAGGCAGGAGGATCACAAATTTGATGCTAGTCTGGGCAACTTAGTGATAACCTGTTTCAAAATAAATAAAAAGGGCTGGGGATGTAACATAGCGCAAGGTCCTGGATTCAATCCTCAGTAATACACACACACACACACACACACACACACACACACACACACACGGTTTATTTCATTTTTAGCCAAACACTAAATTACCTATGTCCTCATGCTGGCAGACAGCACTTACACATTCACTATAATGTGTGCTGAATGATGCTTCTTTCAGAATCATTATTTCCTAATCTTTGTACTTTTAAATGTCTTTTAAAACACAACACACAGGGCTGAGAATTTAGCTCGGTGGCACCACACCTGCCTGCAAGCGTAGGTCCTGAGTCTGATCCCCAGTACAAAAACAAAACAAAACACACCCAACATATAAAGATGAGGTTAAGAAAATTCCAGACCAGGCATGGTAAGCCATGCGTATAATCCCAGCTATCCGAAAGGTGAGGCAGGAGGATTGCCACAAATTCAAGGCCTGTCTGCCCTACAAAGCGAGACCTTGTCTCAAAAATCCAAACAAACAAAACAAAAAAAGAAAATTCCAGAAGCAGTAGCATATACAGAGGGTTATAGGCCTAAAGAAATATAGTTCTCTGAAGACATGAGAAGATGCAGAATTGAGAAAAGGTGAAGAAAAAGAGAGAAGAGGTCCTCAACAAGAAGGAGGGGAAATTTCTGCCCATTCCCCAAAGAAACGAGATGGTGCCAGACATGGTAGTACACATCTATAATTCCAGCTCTCAGGAGGCTGACACAGAAGGAATGCCACAAGTTCAAGGCAGCCCGGGCTACAAGTTTAAGGTCAGACTGAACTACGTAATGAGACCCTGCCTCAAAAAAAATATAAAGAAAAGAAAAAGAAACAAGACAGGGAAAATGTGCAGTGAGAGGTTCTAGACTACAGCACATAAAGCTACAAAGGAGAAAATTCTCAAACTCCTAGACACTTACCGTGTTGCATTTTGTTCCACACACCACTTGCCTATGATTCAACCACTGCGATGCAAACACTTTATTAAGGGTCCCAAGTTGAAACTCTCTCTCCTTCAGAAGACTGGGGAGTTGCTGTGCTGCAAAACCATGCAACACTCGAGAATAGTTGGTTTCATTCTGTAGCCTTACTTCCCGGTTCTTCAGGTAATACACTAAGGATCTCTTCACTGGAGGAAGTCTTTTCCTTTTGTGAAGTGAGTGATCCCAGCCAAACTGTGAAAAGCAATATCAGAAATCAGAGCTTTGGCTACTCCAGCTATCTTTTTTCAGAACAAGAGATTCTAATATATTATGGAAAATAACCAAGAACTCATCCTGCAGGGTTTACATACAACAAAGAAGCAACACAATAAGAATCTCAATGCAGAAAGTCCTGCTTAACTCTTCCTGCCTTGAAATGATGTTGCTCACAGTGAAACCTACATAAGAAATGGAATCAGTAAAGAATAGGGCAAATGGTTTACCAGACCTTTGAAGAGCAATGGATTCAGATACCCTATATCTATTCTTGGCAGGGAAGAAAGTGAATGAGAGGCCTGTTGAGTTTCGCACACACTTAAGCTGCATCTCTACCCAGCCCTGGTCTTTCTCAGCCTGTATTCCCTGCAGAACACAAATGCTGTGGTTCAAGGAGGAAGACTAGGGTCTCAGGTCTTCCAGGGATGTACTATCAATGGCTGTCCCTCTGTAATCTTGCCAGTGCTCCAGGCAGTTGAAGAATTAAAAAAAAATAAACACCAACAAGGAGGCACAGGAAATCAGAATCAGAATCCAAGTCAAGGCCTTCCCCTCCAAAGGAGGCGTTTACAAGAACAACACCTGACTGCTATTTCTTCTTTGTGTCCAAAAGCCAGAAGACCCAGCTGAAGGCTTGGGTAATCCATCCCGGGCTCCATTCTCGATAGGTGTCTCAATCTGCCCGGATTCCCGGTGTCCCTGGAAGGCAGATTTGGGTTCCCTCCCATAACTTCTGGGAATATGGTTTTGTTCCCCCATTCCCCTCGACTTCGGTTTCCCTTTCTTCTAGGGCCAAGACTCTAGTTTCTTCTCAAGCTCTATCCCTAGCTGAAGGCCTCCGGCGGAAGGCCTCATTTTTTACTTCCCCTTGAGCTCCTCACACCACCCGCCTATCTACGCTGAAGTGAATTCCTGAGGGACTAGACTGATTCCATACGCCCAGGTCCTGCGTTCACCTCGCCTTTGAAGACATTGGACTCAGATTCCTGTCCCAGGATGTGCGGACCCCCCTAATCCCCACCTAGTGCCTCGGGGTCAGCACCTGGATCCGATCTCTTAGCCCTCACCTGCGGACCCTGACCGTCGCTCCCAGTTCCTGGCGAGGCAGGCGCTTTCCGCTTCCTGCTAACTGCTTTCCGGGCCATAGTGGGCAGCGCCGCCGCGGCCCCGCAGCCACATGGGGCGGGGGAAGCAAGGGGTAGTAGGACAGCGGGTCATAAACTGGGCCCCGGGGCCGCGCGCTTCGGTGCGCCCGGCCCGGAAAATGGCCCAGACCCGGGGCAGCAGTAGAAAAAAAAAGAGAAGCAGCCACAAAGGAAAGACGGAAGGGGACGAGAAAAGGGAAGGGGAGGCAGGAACCAGAAGCTTTCCTACTACGGACTCTGCTAAGGACGGCGAGCGGCGAGAACCAAAACACCTCCGCCCCCCACGCCCGCGCGACGTCAACGTTGCGCAGCCGCGTTCCGTAGAGCGTCGCCGCGGAGACGCAGAGGAGACCCACCCGGGCGGGATTTCGGACTCCTAAGAAAATTCTAAAAGAAAGCTGTGGCTCAACCGCCCTCCTTTTTCCAACGGTCGCTTGGCGGCCGCTGATGGTAAACGATCTGGAGCAAAAAAAAAAAAAAAAAAAAAAAAAAGAAAGGAATTCTGGTTTGTGGCTTCCCCGGACCCAGATCCTCCCATCCGTCCGCACCCGGAAGTAAGGACTACCGGCCCCAAAGGGAGAAGCACTGTAATTCCTCTAGTACTGTATTCGTTATCTCCTTAGACTGGTTACCATCCATCAAGCACCCAGCTCCTCGCATCTCCCCGGACCTATCACAAACTCCTGGGACCTAGGGTTTTACTGCCCCTTGCCAAGGTGGAATCTGACTCGGAAGCCACAGGGGCATGGCCAGACTTTCCCATCACAGAGAACCGAGCAGGTAGAAGGAACTCAAGACGCCCCCATAGGACATTGGCTACCCCCTTCCAGTCCCTGCGGAGCTCTGAAGCTCCGTTCTCCCCTCGATGTCTTCCCTCACTCCACTGCTCCCTCCTCTTTCCTGTCGTTGAAAGCAGGACAGTCCCTCAGTCACTTTCCCCTTACCGAGACCTCATGCATGTTAGGGAAGCACTTCACCGCTGAGGTACACCTGGGGACCCACATAGTCAAAGGAAGCAGGGTGCCCTTACTTGGGACTGTGGTGCTCAATTATCTGCTGGTCCCTTCAGGCTTCTGGCCTCATACCTCCAAAGAGTTCCGTTGGCCCATCTGAAGTTCTGCTTACAAGAAAATCTCGATTTGTTTTCCAATCTGAACTAAAGACCAGTTTGAGACAGGATCCTCCACCATTCCAGCTTGGCTGCCTTTAACCCTTAATGCCACCATAGGAAAGGCAATCTCATCCTTCTTGGTTATGTAAATTAGCACTGCAAAATGGAACTTTAAATGTTAAGATTTTTTTCTTTCCCTTTAGAGGCAAGTGGTTTCTCAATACTTCCTTGGGCTTAGGGTATAAATAGCTACCCCACCTCTCCTCAGCTCAGATTTATGAACAGAATGTGCAGATACTTGCACCAGGAGATCAAGTCCCTTGGGCAAGTTACATTCCCTTGGGCAAGGAATGGAGAGGTCCGGGATCCAAGAAGGAATGAAACAAGGGTGAACAGGTCTATTGTTTCATTGTACTCCCTCCCCCACTTTTCCTTGCTAGAAAAGACCCCAATACACCTGTACACGAGGAGATGGTGATTTGAGGCAAATGAGTCCTTTGATCTCAGAATCCATCTTGAATGAATCCTTTTCCTTTTTTATTAAAATAAATGGCCTCCTTTGATTTGGTCAGCAGCAATCAAACCAACCTGAGCGTATGAACCTAAGGGCAGTAACAGACCTATCTCCTCAGACACATGTACATAGTAAATGGGTCAGGGGTGAGTCAACTTCCTTTTTTGAGTCTGTTGTTCTAGTTTTGTCTTGCCTCACAACGGTTTGGATGACTCACAAACCCATTGGACAAGAGCCTGAGACCCTTGAGAATCTCTAGGCTCAGTTTGGGCTGATCTTTACTACTGATCTCTTCTGCCATGTTAAGGGAGCACACTGGACCCTTAGTATGTTTTTTTCTCTTACTGTATTACCTAAGCTAGTCTCAAACTTTCAATCTTCCAACCTTAGCCTCCCAAGTATTTGGATTACAGGCATGCACCACCATGCCTTTAGAGGCTCATTCTTAAAATTAATTTTATTTCATCTTGACATACCAGGAATCATCCCCAAATACATATCACAGTAGAGCTCACTGTTTGTGGAAATAAAGCAGAATAAAGGCCCATTTGGAAATTTAAAAATTCACAACTTCCAGCACTGAGAGAGGCAGAGGTAGGAAAGTTACAACTTCAAATCCTGCCTGGGCAATTTAGTGAAAAAGCCTATCTCAAAAATTTTTTAAGAGGCTGAAGAAGTAGGTCAGTGGTAGAGTCTTCTGGAGTTCAATTCCCAGAACCATGTACACGCCAAAAAAAAAAAAAAATCACATCTGCTTTTTTTTCAAAGTGCTAGGGAGTCCAACCCAGGGCTTTTCATATGCTAGGTAAGGACTATATCGCTGAGCTATCAACTTAGTCATTTTTACTATTAGACAAATTCTCCCTAAGTTGCCCAAGTTAGATTCAAATTTGTGATTTATTTTAAGGTATTGGGAATTGAACCCAGGCTGGGCTAGCACTTGTGATGCTCATGCCTGAGTCTTCTGGTTAGATTACAGGCAAGTACCACCATTTGTAGCACCTAGATTGATTTTGTTTTTGTTTTTGTTTTGAGACAGGGTCTCGCTATGTAGGCTAGCTTTGAACTCACTATGTAGCCCAGGCTGGGCTAGAACTCAGCAATCCTCCTGCCTCAGCCTCCTGAATACTGGGCTTATGGGTATGCACCACCATGCCTGGCTCCAGGATAATTTTTAAAAAGACAGATAATACTAAGAATTGATGAGAAGGTAAAAAGACGAACTCTTCATACTTTGCTAATGGACATGTAATTTGGTACAACAAATTTAGAAAAATCTGTGGCAGTTACCTATTAAAGCTAAATGTGTACCCTTTTCTTTGTTTTTTTTTTCTTCCAGTATTGAGGTAGATCCCGTGGTCTACCATTGAGCAACACCCTTGACCTTAAACATGTATAACCTGTGATAAAGCCTTTCTACTTCTGCATTGTAATCTTAAAATAAATGGGGGTTTATATCTACAAAAGGCCTGGACAATAATAGTTTAGTAGGTTTATTCATAATAACCCCAAATTGGAAATAGTCATCTGTCAATCAACAGGAAGAAATATCAATTGTGTGTATTTGTACAATGGAATATTACATAGCAGTACTATACATGGATACTATGTGAATGAATTTTACAGTGTTAATTAAAAGAAATACAAAGCAATCATTCTTCAATTAGCAAATGTAGGGAACTGGGGAGATAAGCTCATGATAAATTGCCTACCTGTTATATATGAGGCTGTGGGTTCAATCCCTAGTAACACACACACACACACACACACACACAAATACACAAATCCTTAACCTAGGCTTTATAAGCCTGCATTATTTGCCTCCTAATTGAATTTCAGCCACATTTCATATCATTTTTCTTGTCACCAATAGAAATGTCTACAGACCAAAAACAAAGACAAAATCAAACAAACAAAAAAACCCAGAAATGTCTAGCTGGTTGTGATGGCACACACCAGCACTCTGGAAGGCTGAGGCAGGAGACATTTGAGCAGAGACAGTACAATTTAACAGTTTAGCAAGACCTTGTCTCAAAATTAAAAAATTTAGGGCTGGGCATGGTGTTGCACGCCTGTAATCCTAGCACTCAGGAGGCTGAGGCAGGAGGATCACTGTGAGTTTGAGGCCAGTCTTGAATATATGGTGAGTTCAAGATCAGGCTGAACCTACATAGAAAGACCCTTGTCTCAAAAAAAAAACAAAACACTTTTTTTTAAAGAGCTGGAGATGTAGCTCAGTGTGAAAGTCTTAGGTTCAATTAATCTCCCGTAACAACAACAACACAAAACAAAGTGTTCTTGTCTACTCATTCCAGCAACAAGTAAGAATCATATGTTCTTAGTAAATAAATTATTGAACCCAAGCATCACCCTCTCTGGGACTGACCTCCCTCCATCTTTCCTCAGCATGGAAATCCTTGTATCCTTGTATCCTATATCCTTGTTTTTCCTCTGTATGCCACTGGAACTTTTTACAGTGATAGCTTATCACCTTTATCACAATAGTTGATTTTCGTGTCTGCCTCTTCACCTAGCTTGAAAACTTGAAGACAAAGAGTGCCCTTTTTATCCTCAAAATCCCTAGTGTCTGGGAAGGTACCTCGTTTATCTTACACATTCTGTAAATGTTGAATGGCTAGAGAATGAGACAAATGTACATTTTACCAAGTTCTGCAGATTTTTTTATTTTGTGGGGGCAAGATCTTGCTATGTAGCCCAGGCTGCCCTTGAACTTGCAGTGATACTCTTGCCTCAGTGAGTTCTAGGATTATAGCAGAGTGTCACCACACCAGATTTTGTTTTTTGTTTTTTGTTTTTTGTCTTGGTACTGAGGATCAAACTCAGGACTTGCCAGGAAGGTGCTGTGACACTGAGCTACATCCCCAGTCCACATCAGGTTTTAGATATGTAAACTGGATGCCAGCTTTCTAGTTCCCTTTTATAAGTACCTGTGTCTGTCTCTGTTAAGTATTCTTTTTTATTTTTTTTTTTTTTTTTTTTGTACCAGGGATTGAACTTGGTTCCTTGTGCTTGCGACGCAGGTGGCAGAACCACTGAGCTAAATCCCCTGGCCAAGTATTCTTTTTTCACAAGCATGCACTGTCACTCATTAAGTACCTTTTTTTTGTTTGTTTGTTTTTTATTTTTTGAGACAGGGTCTCACTATGTAGTTGAGACTGACCTGAAACTCACTATGGAGCTCAGGCTGGTCTCGAACTCACAGCAATCCTCCTGCCTCAGCCTCCCAAGTGCTGGTATTACAGGTGTGCGCCACCATACCTGGCTCATTAAGTACCTTTTAACAATGATTTAAAGTAGTATTTGTAGGGTGTTTTGTTTTGTTTTTTTAGAGGACAGAGTCTCATTATGTTGCTTAGGCTAGTTATAAGCTCCTGTACTGAAGTAATCCTCCTGCCTTAGCCTCCCTCCCAAGTAGCAGGAACACAACCACACCTAGCCTGTAGCGTTCAATTAAAATTACATATCTTTTTTTTTTTTTAACAGTACCAGGGATTGAACTCTGGCCTTTGCACTTGCAAGGCAGGTGGTGGGACCCCTGAGCCAAATCCCCAGCCTAAAAATTGCAGGTCTTTTTTTTTTTCCGGGAGATCATATTCTCCGCTTCCACCCCTGCAGTT